GAGTTGAAGGGACCAGAGGTGAGCAGGGAGGGGATAACCGGATTCCAGGGCTCCCTGGGTCCTCACCCTGGGGCCTTAGGGAACACATTCATGCTTTCCTTGGAGAGGGGTCTCAACCAGGGGTGGAGGTGGGCTAGGGCAGGCAATGTTGGGGTGTCTAAGACTGTGGAACTTTTTCTTGTAAAAGAAGCCCCAAGTGGTTTTTATTAAGTCCTCTCTCTGAACTCATGCACTTAGTCAAAAACTGTGTCTGTAAAGAATGTGCCAATCCCTGTACTAAACTGGGGCTGCAGTGGTGGGCAAGACAGATCCAGTCCTGCCTTTCATGGGGCTTCCTGTCTAGTGAGGTCACAGACGTCAATCACATGTGCACATAAAATGGTAGCAGTGAGAACTGGAAAATCAGGAGAGGTGTGGAGTGCTTTGAGATCCTTTCACAGGGAAACTGTCTTCAGCTGGGGGTCAGGGAAGACTTCCTTATGGAGGCGAGAAGGAATGAGTAGGAAACATAGGAGACATGCCAGGTGAGGCGCAGAGGCACGAGTGAGCTCTGTGAAGTGAGTCGGGCTGGTGGGCCTGGCAAGGTTGGAGACTGCTTGCTGGAGAAAACAGGACCTGTGATCAGATTTGGTGTTGGGTTGTGTTTGGGAGGCTCAGGAGTTTGGGGAGCCAGGAAGAGGGGGAAGCAGATGGGTGACGTAGTCCTGCTGGCTGACTAGGAAGGTCCTTGGATGGAAAGGGAGCTGGACTGGAAGTTGCTGTCAGTGGGGAGACTGGATGGGTGCAGTGTTCAGGGGCGTAGCTGAGGCTATGATCAGGACATGGGTTGTGGACACCCTTAGGGACAGGGTTTGGGACCCAGCAGGTTTTGTTGCAGCCCTTAACCCTGCCCTTCCTATCTAGTGTTTACTCTTGCCCCCTATAGAGCAGGTAATTCCTGTTCTGAGCTCCCCACTTCCAGTCTCAGCTCAACTCCTGGCCTCTGGGTCTCAGTTTCCCGTCAGCAAGCACAATGAGAAAGGCGGTCTCAATGGTGGCTCCAGGCCCTCTTGGCTTCAAGGGTCTGTGGTTCTGTGATTTCTATTTCTCTCTCCATTCTCTCTCTTCCCCTTTCTTTCCTTCTGTGTATATAATTATTTCCCGGCACTCCAAGACAATCCCAAATTACATGTAGGCAAAATGATTATTAAATCTCAGAGAGAAATCATAGATTTCAAGACAGCCACAGCAGAGAGGCAGGTAGCCCGGGACCTGCCCCATTCCTGCCTTCCACACTGGCCCCGTGAAATGAGGCACCAGGGATGGGCAGCAGGGGTTGTGGACTGACCCGGGCCCTGCAGACCGTCAGGTCCCCATGGCGTGTCACTCCCTTCTGACCCCCACTTATGTCATTCATCTGGTGAGTGTGACATGTCTCACCCAGTGGAGCAGACCAAGATCTACCTGTGAGGCTCAACTATTTGACCTGCAGTATCTCTTCTCCTATACTGTCTGTAGACAGCTTTACTTTAGGGAACATAGGTGCCACCCATGTGCTGCAGTTTGAAAGGTCTAATAATGTCCCATTATTCTGCCACAGGCCCTGGAAATGTCCCTGTTACAGTGGCATTCCTTTGGTAAAGAGCTGACCCCCATTTGCCCCTGGACCTGATGCCAGGGGCCTGGCCACATGTTAGCACCCACAGGTGCACAGCGGATCCTGGGGGTCTGTGTTGTTCTACGTGCTGTCTGTGCATCAAGTCATTAAACCCTTACCAGAGCCTGATCAAGCAGGTTCTACTAGAATTCTCCTTGGATGAAGAAATTTAAGCCCAGAGAAGTTGAGTAACTCAGCTAAGGTCATACAGCCTGTAAGTGGTGAGGTTGGACCCTACGTCTAGCTTCAGAGCCCAGATTCTTAAGTGCTTGTTTGTGCGGACTCTGCAGTTTAAAGCACATGCCTATCTAATCTCTAATACCTGGCAAATAGACGCGTGTCATCCTATTTTACAGTGGAGGAAACGGGATATGGAGAGGGAAATCACTTGCCGCTCAAACCTCTTAGCCAAGTTGGGGCAGGCTTGGGACCTGAGCCCAGACCTTCCCTTCCCTCCTCTCTCCCAGAATGGAAGCAGAGAAGGGCGTTCTGATACAGAAGGGGAAGGGCCCCAACCTGAAGGCCTCCTGAGCAGGGGGCTGGCAAGGGCTTCTTGGGCAGGCAGAGTGTCCTGATCTGAAGGTTCTAGGGCTCTTGCTCTGTGGACCCTGCATCTTCCTCCCAGGGGGTTAGGAACCCAGCTTCGGGGCCGGGCTTGGCCTCAGCCAACACTGTGAGCTCACAGCCAAGTCATTTGACTCCAGACTCCTACTGTCATCCTTGCACCCTCAGGTAGCAGCAGACTCTCAGCAGCAGTGCTTGATCAGGGGAATCTAATTAGAGGGTGTGGCTGTCCCACAGGCACAGGGCCTTTCCTGAGGATGGCAGTGCCTGGGCTGCTATTTTTCACCAGCTTAAATCCCCAGTTTGCTAGGCCTATTGCATGCATGTTCAGTTGTGTCTGACTCTTTGGGACCCCATGGACTGTAGCCCACCGGGCTCCTCTGTCCATGGGATTCTCCAGGCTAGAATGCTAGAGTGAGTTGCCATTTCCTACCTCAGGGGATCTTCCTAACCCAAGGATCGAACCAGCTGTCTCCTGCCACTCCTGCACTGACAGGCGAGTTCTTTACCACTGTGCCACCTGGGAAGTCCAGTCCACCAGGCCAGTAGTCCTCCAAGTCTGTTCCTGCACCAACAGTAGCAGGAGAACCATCTTGAAGCTTGTCAGATACGCCCCTCTCAAGCCCCACCAGGACCTCCTGAATAGAACACTGGGAGTTGGCTGATGCACATCCGGGTTTTTTTGTCTGTTTTTATTAGAGTATAATTGCCTTTCAAGGTTGTGTCATTTTCTGCTTTATGACAAAATGAATCAGTTATGTGTATACCTACATCCCCTACTTCTCTGCATTTGGGTTTGAGAGCCCCTACCTTTGGGTTTGAGAACCCCTACTCGAGGCCAGGGCTCCCACTAGCTCTCAGGTGGGGCTTGGTTTACGCAAAGGCTTCAGGGCGAGCTTCTCTGAGGTATGGGAGTAATTCTGGGCAGTGGAGGACATAAGAAGGGGTAACCAGACTGGAGGATGGAGTTTATACTCATTCGCTGTCCAGGCCCAGAAATCAGGGCAGCACTTCAGCCGTGTGCAGTGTTGCAGGGTCGGTGGGGGTAGGAATCTCAGGTCCCCAGTGACTGGTCACTTGGGCCCGTCATCTATAAACCCAGGCATTGATGATCTTGTGGGTGGAAAGCCTGACACGTAGTAGGTGCTCAGAGCTGGGAGATGATGTCACTTTTATCACCAGTGCCCCCAGAGATCCCTGGGGCACTGGGAGCAGTGGCTTCTCACTGCTCCCCAGGAAGCTCTAGTGAGGTTGGCAGGGCCGGGTTTATCATTCCCCCTTGGCATGACTGAAGCTGAAGTCCAGAGAGGTTATGTGAGTTACTCAAAGACACATAGAGCATTTTATGTCCAAGTCAAATCAGGAACTCGGGCGTCTTTATGCCCCCAGCTCTTCCATAGGCCTCTGCCAAGAGTTCCTTCCACCCCTAGTCTGGGGCTGTGGGAAGTGGGCATCCCTAGGCACTGACTCCCCCAAAGAGTGTCTCAAGTTCTCTAAGCACAGAGTCCTAGAACCTTAAAGATGGAAGGAAACTTGGAGATAGATAGGCCACCCAACTCCCCATTCACAGATTGAGGAACAGAACTAGAGAGGGAAAACGACTAATCAGGTCGCCGGCGTCAGAGCCCCTGACTCCTGACGAGGTGGACACCCTTCTGAGCCGGACTCCTGGCTGGTCATCTTCACCCTGGCTTTCCTCTTGTACTCTGGAGCACTCACCAACCCCACTCCTTGCCGAACCCCTAGCACATCCCTGGACAGCCGTTGTCTTCAGTAAAGGTTTGTTGAATTAGGGACTTTGTTAGTTAATGAACTGGCTGACCACTCTGACCCCAGGGAGAGAGCTCTGAGAGGGCTGGGAGCTGCCTCCTGGGCCTGATGACTCACTGCGTCCGTCTTTGTCCCTGGGTCTCTGGTCCTTCCACTTTGCTTTTGTTGTTGTTTTGCTGGTTTGGATTCTGGCCTGCATCTCCTCTCCTCCCGTTGCTGTGTCCTCTCCCTGTGTCTCTGACCGGGTCTCCCTTCCTCCCTCACTGTCTTCACTGCCGGTGTCTGTGCTGACCGAGGGGCCGTCCTGAGGCGGGGCCTCCTGCACGGACCAGGGGCAGGCGGGTGCGCTGACTTCTGCAGCCCACGAGCATTTAACAATCTGCTCTGGCCCGGGATGGATGGTTTTCTTATTGCTTACCAAATAATGCTTGCTTTATTCCTTCCCCCACAAGCCAGGATTGATCTCCACTCATCAAGCAGTGGGGAAGGGGAGGAGAGAGGAGGCTCTGGGGCTCTGTAGGGGTGGGGTGGTGGAGACCCATGGGGGCCAGTTTCTGACCTGCTGCAGAGGCCGGTCCAGGATGTTTCAGAAAGCCTGGGCAGAGTCTTTTTGTGGTTCTCACATCTCATTTCCTCTCCGAGGGTGGGTGGGCATCCCGCCACTGAGTGGACTCGCTGGAGTCTCTCAGCCCTGTTTGAAATGGTCCCCAGTCAAAGGAAGATCCAACTCTGAGAACTAGGGCTGCCCCCCAAAACAGCAGCTGGCTTTGGGGCAGGAGGGGGTGTGTGTGAATGGATGGGGTGCAGGGCTGGAAGGCACCCTCCCTCTCCCAGAGGCATTGAGGAGTGGAAAACAGGCGGATGACCCAAACCTGCTGTGTTCACCCTGGTCCAGCTTTGGCCCTCAACAGGGCGAACAAACCTGTGAACTCAAGTCCACCTGTGTCCTGTAGGGTCACCAAGGGTGGGACAGGGCACACTCACACCTTGGTGATGCTGGCCCCTCACTCCTCTCCCCTTGCCCGGCCAGGTGGTGAGCCAGATCGATAAACTAACTTCGGACTTCGACTTTGAACTGGAGCCAGATGACTGGACCACAGCCACTGTGAGCAGCACCTCCAGCAGCGACAAGGCGGGCGTGGGCGGCCCCTTTGACCTGGGCCACCTGGACTTTATGACGGCCGACATCCTCTCAGACAGCTGGGAGTTCTGTTCCTTCCTGGACATCTCCACCCCCTCAGACTCCGTGGATGGCCCCGAGTCGACCCGGCCGGGGGCTGGCCCGGACTACCGGCTCATGAACGGTGGCCTGCCCATCCCCAACGGGCCCCGGGTGGAGACCCCGGACTCCTCCAGTGAGGAGGCCTTCAGTGCCGGCCCTGTGAAGGGCCAGCTGCCCCAGCGGACCCCGGGGACGCGGGAAAGGGTGCGGTTCAGCGACAAAGTGCTCTACCACGCTCTGTGCTGTGACGACGAGGAGGGGGACGCCGAGGAGGAGGCCGCAGAGGAGGAGGTGGGCCTGTCCCCGGAGCCTCCCCACACAGAGGCCCCTGCTGGCCCCCTCAAGCCCTCCCCGGCTCCCTACAAGCCCAGACGCTCTCCACTGACTGGACGCCGCTCAGGCCCCACCTCGGTCCCCGAGCAGACCCGCAGGGTCACGAGGAATAGCAGTACCCAAACGGTGTCAGACAAGAGCACGCAGACGGTGCTGCCCTACACGGCCACCAGACAGAAAGCCAAGGGGAAAAACTAGGGCTGGGGAGGGGCTGGGAGGCGGTGGGCACATAGAGCTATAAATATATATATATATATATATATTTAAACAAACGCAGTCATAATAAAATTTTAAAATGCTAAGGATCCAGCCCCACAGGCCCCAAGGCTTTCACAGAGCTCATCTTCGACATGAGAAGCCTGCTCACCTCTTAGTTCCCAGGAAGCGTGGCCAGAACCACCCTCCCTTCCTTCTCATGGCAGAACCCCTGAAGGGGGTGTCCAAACTTGTAGAAATGAGGAAGGGTAAGTCTGACCTGGGACCCCCACCCCCACCCCTGCAGACCCTTGAGCCCAGTGGTGGAGGCTGGCTGCCAGTCTGGGCCTTGCCCTGAAGAGGATTTGTGAGCAAGAGGCGAGCTCCCAAGCAGCAGGTCCAAGGCCGGGGCTTGTGGTTGGTGATTTGGAAGAGACTGCCGGACCGAGAGCCTGGGGGAGGTGTCACTCCAACTGGGCCTGGTCACTCACATGCCCGTGCCTTGTATGTCTTTTACTCCAAGGCTGACTTTTGCTTCTCCCTCCCAAAGGCGAACTTAGCTGGGTGCATCCAAACCCGCCCCTTCTCCCATCTCAGGGTTGCCCAGCACACAGAAAAGGAAAAAGACACTAGCATGATCAGGCCTCCATGCTCAGAAACCTGCAGATCCTGGAGGGCCAGGCTGGGCTGGGCAGAGGTCTGTTTCAAGAAGCTGGACCACTCCCAATCTTTTCAGCTCCCATGCTCAGCCCTGACCTTTAGAGATGACTCAAGAAGAGCCTCAGCCAGTCCCCGCTTGGCCCTGAGCAGACCTGAGGTCCACGGAAGAAAGCAGGCAGCCACTGCCATGGGGCTGTGAACCAGAGCCGGAGACAGACTCCTGGACCCCTTCCCTAGGCAGGCAGCTTGGAGAGGAGTCCTGCAGCCCTCCTCTGTCCCTGCTTCTCCACACCGGGACCCTGAGCCCAGCTTAGCAGGTCTTGTATGACACCAACAGAGACAAGGTGGGAGCCTGGAGGTAACAGGGCTTTACCTGGGGTGTGGCCTACACAGGGGCAGCATCTGAGTACCCTTGGGATAATAATCACAATCATTGCTCACGTTTATGGAGCAGGCCCCCAGGCCACAACTATGCTGAGATCATTTTACAGCATTATTTCATTTAATCTTCACAGTAATCTGGCAAGGTAGGAACTATCACTATCCCCATTTTTCACATGAGAAGACTGAGGTTCAGAGAGGTTAAGTAACTGGCCAAAAGTCACAGAGCCTGCGCCACTCTCCCCACCATCAGTGTGTAGGCGATACCTGGCTCTGTCATCTAGCAGCAGTGTGACGCTGAGCAAATCCATTTGCCTCTCTGAGCCTATCTACCTCATCTATAAAATAGGTCTGATAGTCCTCACCTACCTCATCAGGGGCTATGGGGCTTTGACAAGATGGGGGATGTGAAAGCAGCTGGTAAATGCCAGGGTACAGGGCATGCAGTGTGGTCAGTGCAACCCCAACCCAGATTCCAGTGGTTTCCAGGTGGGGACCCCTGAGTGGAGTGGGCAGAGAAGCCACTTCCATCAACTGGGAGCTGTCCCTGGGTCACTGCTTCTCTTTGCCCCCCACAGTAGCTTGATTCACTGCCCCTTGTTCAGAGCAGGGGGGTAAGGACACCACTCCTTGGGGACCTCCCTCCGGCACATTTTAACTAAGACAGATTCACAACCCACCTGTCAGGAGGGGTCTCTGCTCCTCTTGTGGGGGGCCAGAAGGGCATGAAGAGCAACCTAGCAACAACTACTGTGCTTGTGCAGTCCCAGCAATGGGGAAGATAGAGATTGTGCAGGCCAGTGTAGAACAGGTGCTGAGGATGCTATCAGGATGAGATGGGCCAGGCCTAGGCTGTCTGCTTTACAGTATGGGAATCTCCCCTCAGGCCCAGGGTTAAGGTCAGAGCCCTAAGGATCTAGCCAAGGTGCAGCCTCCAGGGTGGCAATCCGGGCAGGGGGCGTTGGAGGGGGGTGTGTGGTGGCTAGCTCTTCCTGGCCAGGCCTGAGAACCGGGGTCTAAACTCATTTATCAGACCCAGGAAATGCTCAGGCAGTTGGGGCTGATCAATGATGGAACCCTGGTTCAGAGGATGAATGCCAAGCGCCCAGGACCAGCTGGGTTCTGCCCTGACAGTGAGGAGAGGGCAATCCAGAGCAGCCCCACCTCACCCCAGGTATGGGCACACCTAGCTCTGAAGAAAGACATCCAATGCTACCTCCAACACTTGATTTTCCTCTCCAACGGCAAGATTGGTTTCAGACTTACAGTCTCTCGTTTTTACAACAGTCAAGGAAAAGAAACCTATACAATAGTATCCATTTCTCAAAGGAAGAAACGGACCCAGAGCCAGGGGTCTCTGAGAGAGTCCCAGGTAAGGCACTGACCTTGCCTGGGAGCCCCTTCCCCACCCTCACCCTGGCTTTCTGTGATTGCATGTGGTCCCTGTTAACAGCCCTCAGTTAGCCAGACCCGTTCCTTGGTCCACCACCTGGCTACTTGCCTCAAATAGGGCAGAGGTATGAGGGTGTCCTAGAAAAGGTGGGGGGAATGGGTATTTGTTCTAGAAGACTCCCCAAATTACTTAACTTCCTTCATACTCTGCCACATCCAGTCTGGACCTTGCTGCCAGTGGAGTGGGATCCCCATGACTTTCTTACGACTTGAAATGGAGAATGTGGCCACCGAGGAAAAGAGCTATAACAGTCAGTTGTTGAGCCACAGAACTTGATGCTTCTGAGTAGTAAGCTCCCCGTCCTTGAGCAGTCACAGCACCCCTAAGACCTCCCCCTCAACCCTCATGCTCCTCCGGGCACAGTCCCTCCCTGTTCTTCTCTGTCTCCAAGCCTTGGCTGGTTTCTTTTTCATTTTAATTTTTATTTTATTATTTTATTTGTCTACGCCAGGCCTGTTGCAACATGTGTGTGCTCAGTTGCTTCTGACTCTTTGTGACCCCACGGACTTCAGCCTACCAGGCTCCTCTGTCCATGCGATTCTCCAGGCTGAATACTGGTCGCCATTCCCCCTCCAGGGGATCTTCCCGACCCAGGGATTGAACCAGCTATCTCCTATGCCTCCTGCATTGTAGGTTGATTCTTTACTGCTGAGCCGCCAGGGAAGCCCGCATGGCATCTTTAGTTGCAGCACGTGGGATCTAGTTCCCTGACCAGGGATTGAACCCTGGCTTGCTGTATTTTGAGTGGGGAGTCTCAGCCACTAGAACACCAGGGAAGTCCCTTTGCTAGTTTATGGGTTTCCTTACCTAGAATGTCCCAGATCTGATCCCACTGACCGCCTCCTGTGTGCCTGGACTTGTGCTGACCCAGGCTGTGGAGGAGGCGGAGGGGGCAGACACTTGCAACAGTGTAGAGTCGTGATGACAGTTCACAGTCATCGAGCATGCACTGTGCACTAAGCATTGTTCTAAGTATTGTTTGTTTCGTTAACTCCTCATGGCAAACATGAGATAAGCATTTTTACTTATGCCTGTTTGCCAGATGAGGAAACTGAGGCTCTGAGAATTTAAATAGTTTGCCTAAGGGCCCGGCATGGGTTATGGCACCAGGATTCGACCCCAAAGTCAGTGACTCGGCATTCAAACATCTACTGCAGTCAAAATCCATATGGAGCCAGCACTCTGGTCTCTGGGTGCGAGGGAGGGGCCTGGGGCTCTCAGAGAGAGGTGGGTCTGTGTGAGTGAGAGTGTTGGGAGCAGGAAGCTTGTGAATGCCTTTCAGTCTTTGGAGAACTTGGCTACTGTTAACCTCAATGTCACAGCCCTCGACACAGAGCCTGGCGCCCAATGGATTATGGGTTCAATAAATGTTTGTTGAATGAATGAATGAGCCCCATTAGCAGAGGGGATTTGCTGTGCATTCATGCAATCAGCTTTTATTTCAGACTTCCTCCATGCCAGGTCTCATGTCCCTGGTGCTCACACACACATACAACTCTCTGTGAGGGTCTGGTCTGATGAGGGCTGGGCAAAATAAAAATGGAAGGATGTGGGGTTTCAGGGCTGAGAAGCCCATAGGTGGTGGGTCCAGCCTGTGATCCCTGGGAAAGGAGCCTGGAGCATGAGGCAGGAGACCAGCTTAGTGAGGAGACAGCTCTGTCCTTGTGGGGGCAGGGGTCCTCCACCTGATGCCACTTTCATGCGGTGGGCACATTGCAGTTACCACCATGTCTGAGAATGAGACACTGTTTTCCAGGCAAGGGATAGATGATCTGGTCTACAGAAGTGGTCTCATGAAACCAAGGAACGGAAAGTGGGGCAAACTATTCAGAGACCCAGCACCATCCCCCGCCCTTAGAGACAAAGTGAGGCCCTGTCAACTGAAGAAAGAAAGGGCAAGGAGGAAGCTGGAGGTTCAGGGCAGGCGCAGCCTTCCACCTGTGTCCCTCCTGAGTTTCCCTTCTCTGTTTCAACCTCCCCTCTCCCCGACACACACCCATGTCCCATCCTCCAGCTGCAGCTTGTGGAAGAAAACTGACATTTACCGACCAGGTAGTATATGCTGGGCATTGCGCTGCATGTCTTAATGTATACTAAATGACAGATTTAGTTGTGCCTGGCACATAAGAAGTTACTTGATAATTATTTATTAAATAAATGAATGGACCATAATCCTTATTTTACAGGTGAGGGAGCTGATGAACAAACAAGGAATTTGTTCGAAGATGCACAGTAGGAAGTTGGTGGAGCTGGGGATTTACCCTTGCTGTTATTATCTATACTATGTAAGAGCTACTATTTATGGGATACCCATTATTTGATGCATTAGTCACTTTACATAAATTATCTACTTTACAGCAATCCTCCAAGTAACTGAGACAATTGGCATTTTACAAATGAGAAAACTGAGACCCAGAGAGGTGTAATATTCATTCCCAAACAGCCAGCTCCTAAATGCAGAAATAGGATCTGGATCTAGACTTTCCCATGCTCCCCACACTCCCAGCTT